GGTGGGCGCCAAGCCCTGTAAAACACCTTAATAGCCCATTGATGTAGCAAAGCCGCCTATATAAACGACAGACATTGTATGCAGCTGAGCCATAACAACCCAAGCATAATTGCAAGAGCGAACATGATGAATGCCCACGCCAACCTAGCTCTGGCCGCTTTGGCATTCCCAGCCCACATGCCCAACTCTAAATTCTCCCACATCCGATCACGATGCACCCGACGCCCACCCCTTCCACTCTCAATGGCGGCACATCCACCAATCCGAAGTAACCCAACACAGATCACAATGAGCACCACCGGCAGTGCCAGTGCCGGCGGGGAGCAAGCCGGCATCTCCGGCACGGACCGCTTCCGCATGCTAGACTTCCATCACGTCGAGTTTTGGTGTGCCGATGCCGCCTCCGCTGCCGGACGCTTCTCCTTCGGGCTCGGCGTGCCACTCGCCGCAGAGTCCGGCCTCTCCACGGGGAACACCGCGCACGCCTCCCACCTACTCCACTCGCGCTCGGGCTCTCTCGCGTTCCTCTTCAGCGCCCCATACGCACAGGGCAACGCGGTCACCGCGTCCGTGCCCTCCTTCGACGCCGACACCGCACGCCGCTTTACCGCAGACCACGGCCTTGCGGTGCGCGCCGTGGCCGTCCGTGTCCCCGACGCCGCCGCGGCCTTCCGCACGAGCGTCGATGCTGGAGCGCGCCCGTCCTTTGCCCCTGCTGAGCTCGGACACGGCTTCCAGCTCGCGGAGGTCCAGCTCTACGGAGACGCCGTTCTCCGCTTCGTGAGCTACCCAGACGAGACGGCCATACCCTTCTTGCCGAGGTTCGAGAGCATCCCCAGCTCCGGGGCTACACCGGACTACGGGCTCACACGGTTCGACCACATCGTCGGCGACGTCCCTCACCTGGCTCCGGTCGCTGCATACATAGCCGGGTTCACAGGGTTCCACGAGTTCTCTCGCTTCACTGGAGACCAGGTGGGCACGGCCGAGAGCTCCCTCAACGTCGTGGTGCTCGCCAACAATTCAGAGAATGTACTGCTCACCGTCGTCGAGCCAGTGCACGGCACCAAGCGCCGGAGCCAGGTACAGACATACCTGGACCACCACGGCGGCTCGGGCGTGCAGCACCTGGCCATGGCCAGCGACGACGTGCTCGGCACGTTGAGGAAAATCCGTGCGCGGTCCACCATGGGCGGCTTTGAGCTTCTCCCACCGCCACCAGCCAGCTACTATGACGATGTAAGGCGGCACGCCGGGGACGTGCTGTCAGAAGCACAGATTAAGGAGTGCCAGGAGCTAGGCGTACGGGTGGACAAGGATGACCATGGAGGTGTTGTGCTCCAAATATTCACAAAGGCGGCGGGCGACAGGTGAGATGGCCTAGCAAGCTAATTCTTCCACTGACGTCAAATGTCATGTATATATTGTGTGTATATTCTAACTTCTATATTGTGTGTTTATTCGCATGTAGTTCTAGCTTATAATTCATGGCTCGAAAAATATCTTGTATTGTGTGCAGGCCAACCTTGCTGTTGGAGTTTATCCAAAGGATCGGATGCATGGAGAAGGACGAGAACGGGCAGGAATACCAGAGGGGTGGCTGCGGTGGATTTGGCCAAGGTAACGTCACTGAGCTGTTCAAGTCCATTGAGGACTATGAAAAGTCTCTTGACGCTTCTGCACGCCTGGCCGCCTAATCAGAACACAATGGTTCAACACTCACGGCTTCACTTTTTTTTTTCGATGGACAACATAAGGGACTCTCACAAACCTTTGTTGGTAATCAAGTCCGATCAGATCTTTGTATTGGTAATCAAGTCCATGCAGGTGTTTGAGCGATGATGTCATTGCTCATGTCTAGTTGCAGCGTCTTTATTGAATAAAGTAGTGTTTCATTCTTGCAAAAGTTGTCACGGAGAATTGTATGTGAGAGATCTCACTGTAATTCTTAGTTCTAAGAGTTATTTTATAGTTTCTCGGATGTTTGATTCAAGGCACTAGTCTCCAACCCGTGCACCTGCACAGGCTAGGGATTGCTAGATGACTATATGGTGCTATCTGATATATATGATAAATATTAACCTTCCAAGGGCATCTCCAACTATGACCCACAAATTCCTCCGGTATACGTCCATTTTTATGCCTGGGCATGGTCCGCGGACAAGATACGGGAGGAAGCCATCCAACGCTAATTACAAAGTATCCGATTGAGAGGAGAAAATGTAGATGAGGACCAAGCATGTGGTGGGATATTTGTGGTTTAGTGTCTGATTGGGAGGAGAGAAAGAGAAGAGGGGGACCATGCATGTGCGGTTGGGAGGAGAGAGAGAGAGAGAGAGAGAGAGAGAGAGAGAGAGGAGAGGAACATGCATGTGATTGGTCAAGTGCATGTTTGGACTCCAGCAAAAAAAACCCACGTTTGTCTCCAAAATACCGGAATTTGGACATCCGGACAGCTTCGCGGACTGATACAGATTCCCATTGGAATAGTGAACAAATGTGTCTGGTCAGATATATACCAGTGTTTTGTGGGTGCCCTAACATAACAATAAAAATGAAAGTTATATATATTTCTCGTCGTCATTAATATCATATAAGTCTATGTTTCCAAAAAGGACAGACAAATGTTATACATAACTAACTATAAAATTACTATTTAGAAAAAATGGGAATGCGAATAATAAATTTCTATGGAGATTTGAAACTACGACCATTATATCAGTTAGAAATCCAAATTTTCATTTATCCATAAGGTTTTACTTCTTGGGGACTTTACTTTTTAGTTTTACAACATGTACAATCATGTTCATATTTGCAAGGAAGAGTGATTTTGTTAATAAAAACAAAATATGTGACCCTGGTAAGCGGGGATAAAGGTAATAAATATAAATGAAATGAGACTTACAACTAAAGTATACACTGCTATTAGGAAATCAACATAGATAAAATATCTTTATACACTAGTAGAAAACAGGGCATTGGTTTTTGCCAGATCAGAGCAACAATCCCGGTCATGTTAGGAACCAGGACTAATGGGAGCATTAGTCCCAATTCCAGCGGCCAGGACGCCTGCCAAGCCTCAGCAGGCACCAGTCCCGGTTCAGCTGGGACCTTTAGTCCCGGGTCCAGCCACCAACCGGGTCTAAAGCACCTCGCTCCTGGGGCAACCCCTTTAGTCCCGGTTGGAGTCTAGAACCGGTACTAAAGGTCAGACTTCAGTCCCGGTTCTAGACACCAACCGGGACTAAAAAGGTGCCTATATATATGCTCGTCCTTGGCCGCTCACTAGTCTGTTTTTTGGCCAGCAGGCGTGTGGGAGGTGTGTGCTACTCTGCTCTCATCTCCTATGCACATGAGGCGTTCGTTGAAATGCCCGAGACATAGTTAACCTTTATCCTCTCCAAGCTCGACCTCCAAGCTACATTTTCCCCAAAATTGTTTAGGTTTGGTGGTGCACCAACTATCCAAGTGTTCTAAAAGGTTAGAAACTTCATCCTTTCATCTCTCATTTCTAGTTTAGCTCCTTTCAAATTCTCTAGAAGTAGAGTGGTTTGTGGGTTTTAGTGGAGGTGTGTTGTGTGTATGTGCGAGTTCAGTTGATTTAGATGCACAATTTGAGCTCAAATTAACTTCTTAGAGTTTGCACATGTGTAGGCTGTCGTCCCATCCCCGTCCCCGTCCTCACCGCCGTGGATCGCCCGCGCCGATCTCGTCGCCGGCACCACCGTGGTGAGCCTCTCTTTTTCTTATCTTCTTTTTAAAACAAACAAAATTCTTACTTGTATGATTTAGATAGCTACTTGTATGATTTTTTTACTTTTATTAATGTTTGTTATTATATAGTGTCATGGTTTTGGTATTCGCCCTCGTCTGCTCTCGTCCGGTCTATGATTCGGATGTGGTATATTATCTTTTATAATTATTTGTTTCATTTAGTGTTATGACAATTATGCCGACCAACTTTATATAGATGCCTTTATCTAGGAGGTATGTGAACCGGAAATTCCAACCGACCATCTTGTCGAGAGGTTAAATTTAGTTGAAAAAGAAAACAAATATTTGAAAGAAAAAATGAAAAGAGTGGAAGAAGAGAAGATGAAATTGGAGTTTCAAGTTGCCGATGTCGTCGATGAACACAAGATCCAGATAGATGCAATGCGCTTGAAGATTAGAAAGATTAGAAAATATGCCATAGATAATGAGGCTTGGTATCATTATGCTATTGGATCAATTGTTACCTTAGTTGTGATTTTGATCGCATTTGTTGTTGCATTTAAATGTTTTACGTAGTTGTATGTTAGTTTTAATGTATGTTTTAATTAAATGCTCTAGAGAGATGTACGTTGTTCTATGAGAACTATGTATGAACTTTATGCATTTATTTTTTTAGTAATGACATTTGATCACTACTGTACTTTGGTTTTAATGTGATGATGAACCTATATTAATTTTATCATTTCTTTATTCATGATGTACTGGAATGGTTTTTGATATACTTAGTTATATAATGCATGCAAATAAACCGACAATGGATGTACGGGGACCGACACACCTCCGACTACATTACGGGCGCCTATTCCGGATCCAGATTTTAGTCTGTTTATTTGGAAACGTAAGGGAGATGATGCTGATGACGATACTTCTGGCAAGGAGAAGGACGACGAGATGGATACCTCGGAGCAAACAAGCCCCTCTTCCAGTCAGGCACCATCCAACTCTACAGTTACTAACGATGTTCATATGTTAAATGTTCATAGACATGGCCTCCACTAGTAGAAAACAAGGTTTTGGTCCAAGCTCAATGTACAGATTGGTCCCGGTTGCATTACGAACCGGGACTAATGTGAGCATTAGTCCCGGTTCGAGCGGCTAGGGCGTCGAGAAGGCATTAGCCCCGGTTCAAATGGGACCTTTAGTCCCAGTTTGAGACACGAACCGGGACTAAAGGGTGTGATGCCCTTTAGTCCCGGTTCGTGTCTCAAACCGGGACTGAAGTGATTCTGAAATTTGTTTTTTTCTTCCATTTTTTTGTTTTTTGTTTCTGTTTTAAGTTGCTTATATCTTTTAGGATATTTGATGTTTTCGAGTGATTCTTTTTGCATTACATTCAAATTTTGTCTAGTTTCTGTGTGTGCCATTAGTTTTCAAATTTGAATGATTTAAATATGAATTTTTTCAAATTTGCTTCAAACTCTAGATTATGAATAATTTGAGTTTAAAAATAGTTTTTAATTTATTTCTTTTTGCTCCTAGTCACATGTCAGATTGTTGTCACAATAAGATTTATTTGGTTATTTTTAGAATAATTTAAATTGGGATTCTAATTAAAACAGTACCGCTTTGCCTATATAGTTGTTTTAGTCCTTTAATTGTTGTTTTCAATTATTTTAAGTTAGTTCTTTCTGTATATTTTTACATGATGTCGTATGCTTCTGTTAAATTTTTATAATTAATTAATATTAATTTTGCTACTGTTGTGTATTAATAGTTGTTTAGCCTTTAATAATAGTTGATAGAATTAGTTTCGCTATATTAAAAAGTAATTCTTTTGGCCACTTTAATGGAACGTGAAAATGGCTGGGACGGTGCTA